TGAGGAGGAGAACCCCATCCTGCTGGGTGGAGGGGTCAGCGCAGGGACAGGAGCTCAGCCCCGCAGCTGCCGGGCACGGCTCGGCACCGCCTGGTGCCAGGAGCTGAGTTTGGGCAGGAGAAGTCCTGCTGGGCAAACCTCACGGAGGGTTCTGGGCAGTGCAAGTGGAGGTGACGTTCTCGGCTGGAGCCCCTGGGCAGCGGAGGCACAGCTCAGGCATCTCCCCGGCACTGGCTACACCACGGGTGGCAGTGCCTGGGCTGGTCCCCACCGCTTGCCGAGGGACGGTGCCACACGTCTCCCAGTCTCCTCCCAAATTTATTTTTGCAGTCAAAAATTATGGCTTGGCTGCCAAGTTTCAGAGGAGAAAAAAAGAAGAAAAAAAGCCCATCCAGCACAGGCCAATATTCAGGAGCATCCGAGAGGATCTGAGCTGCATGAATTCACACCAAGAGCCTGCTGGTTCCCATCAACGCACGGCTGAGCCCGATGAGAATCTGGGCGTTGGGTCAGGACAGCAAAGCTGCAGCAGAGGCTCTGGCTGCGGCTCTGCTGGGGTGAAGGGTCCCGGGAGCTCACAGAATCACAGAATCACCGTGGTTAGAAGGGACCTCTGAGATCATTGAGTCCAACTTCAAAAAAACCAACAAACCAACAAACAAACAAACCCACAATAACAAAACAAAACACACAACACCCCACCACATCACACCCACCCACAAACCAATAATCTCGGGCACTAGAGCATGCCCTGAAGAGCCATGGCTACACGTTTCTTAAATACCTCCAGGGATGGGGACTCCACCACCTCCCTGGGCAGGCTCTTCCAGTGCCTGACCACCCTCTCAGGAAAGTAATTCTTCCCAATATCTAATCTAAACCTCCCCTGCTGCAACTTCAGATCATTTCCTCTGCTCCTGTCATTACTCCCTTGGGAGCAGAAGCCAACCCCCACCTCTCTACACCCTCCTTTCAGGTAGTTGTAGAGGGCAATGAGGTCTCCCCTCAGCCTCCTCTTCTCCAAACTCAACATGCCCAGTTCCCTCAGCCTCTCCTCGCAGGACTTGTTCTCCAGACCCCTCACCAGCTTGGTGGCTCTCCTCTGGACACCCTCCAGCAGTTCAATGTCCTTCCTGTGGTGAGAGGCCCAGAAATGAACCCAGCCCTCGAGGTGAGGCCTCACCAGTGCCCAGTCCAGAGGCACCATCCCTGCCCTGCTCCTGCTGGCCACGCTGCTCCTGACACAGCCAGGATGCTGTTGGCCTTCTTGGCCACCTGGGCACACTGCTGGCTCACGTTAAGCCGGCTGGCCACCAACACCCCCAGGTCCTTTTCTGCCGGGCAGCTTTCCAGCCACTCTTCCCCAAGCCTGTAGTGTTGCCCGGGGTTGTTGTGACCGAAATGCAGGACCCGGCACTTGGCCTTATTAAACCTCATCCCATTGGCCTTGGCCCATTGATCCAGTCTGTCCAGATCCCTCTGTAGAGCCTTCCGACCCTCAAGCAGATCAACACTCCCACCTAATTTGGTGTCATCTGCGAACCAACTGAGGGTGCACTCAATCCCCTTATCTAGATCATCAGTAAAGATATTAAACAAGACTGGCCCCAAAACTGACCCCTGAGGGACACCACTGGTGACCGGTCACCAACCGGATTGCGCCCCATTAATCACAACTCGCTGGGCACGGCCATCCAGCCAGTTTTTTATCCAGTGAAGGGTACCCTGTCTATGCCATGATTCACCAGTTTCTCCAGGAGAACACCGTGGGGGACGGTGTCAAAGGCCTTACCAAAGTCCAGGTAGACAACGTCCACAGCCTTCCCCTCATCGAGAACTCAAGTTGGTTAAGCAGGCCCTCCCTTTCATAAACCCATGCTGGCTGGTCCTGTTTATATTTCAACCCTTGGGTTTCCTTGTTTTTTCCCAACTCCCCTTCCTGGATGGGCAGGAGTCATTGGGAGAGAGTGATTGTCTAAATGACAATAAATTGTTGTGGGTTCCTCAAACCATAACAGCCTCTCATCTCAACAACTCCTCAGCAGCATCTGCCCTGTAGGGAGCCCAGGGGATGGTGGTCGAAGTGGGGCAGGGCCCTGGCACCCAGGCAGAGCCACATGGGAAAAGGATCCAAGGACTGTGGATGCATGTGGCACCATCCAACTCTGCCCATGGAGAGGTCCCAAAGGCACAGGGCAGGGCAGGACATCCGTTCTCAGGCTGGCTGGGTCCTCCTCTCCCTCGCTTCCAGTCTCATCCCTCCTCTCTGACCCAGGAACTGTGTTTCTCAGAGTGTTCCGATGGCAGAGGCACTAATGCCACAAGGACCACCAGCTCCAGGGCGGCACACGGCTCCCACCCCAGCCAGCAGCACCCGCCGCCGCGGCAATCAATGCCGGGATCGCCGGGGAGGGCCAGGGGCCATCTCAGCCCCACGGCAGGTTTAAAGCTGCCATCAGCACATGGTGAGCCCTCAGCCAGAGCAAACCCCTGGCGCTGGGCCGGGCAGGGGTCTTGGGGCACTCACACACAGCCCGGGCTGCTGCCTCGGTCCTTCCTGCCTTTCTTTCAGAGAACACAAGGCACCGACACATGCTTCAATATAGCGATCACAGGGGAATTCAAAGCCAAAACCAAAACACCTTCTCCAGCACTGGCGGCTCCAAGGCTGATATGTGCTTTCTGTGACGGCTCTTACGGTTTTGGTTAAACCCCGCAGCGCTGGCTCAGCAGCTGGACGTGGCGTCTGCTGCCTGGTCAGGCTGCTCGCAGTCACGCTGGCCAACAGCCAATGTTATTGTTGTCAGCAGCTACTTGGGGACCCAGCTCCAGCGAACACGGCGTTATCGGGTTCCTTCTGTGGGCAAGTGCTACCAGAATTACTGCAAGTGCCACAGGCCAAGGAGGCTTTGCAGAGCAAAACGCTCCCATTGTCAGGGAGCATCATCCAGTGCTCCCTGGCTGGACACAGTCACATTATTTTGTACCAAAAAATAGTCACCTATTTTCACCAAAAAAAGACAAAATCCTTTTGAAAAGAGCATAACTGGCATAACTCCATCCCAGGTTTGATCACAGCCTCCCCTGGCTTTGAGGAAGAGCTGGCAGATGTGCCTGAGTGCTGGGGACATCCCCCTGTTTCGCAGGCTTCTCAGTACGTGGAAAAGCTCATGTACTTGGAGAGGAGTCACTGAGCCCAGAGAGCAGAAGGGAAGAGGCCAGCCATCTCCCACACCGCCTGCCAGCTGCTGGCTCATCTCACAAACCCTATACCATGCCAAGGCTCTTAAAATCACAAACTGAACCGAAACGCTTTTGCTCACTTAAAAATCCAGCAGAGTGTGAAGCTGGTGATGGAGATGCACAGGGAGCAGGGCAGATACGCAGAGACAGGGAGGAGAGACAAGGGACTACCAGAAGCACCCACCCACCCAAGTCCCAGGGGAAATGAAGCAGCAGAGCTATTTCCACACACACTGTCATGACTAAACCAACAGCCTGTGCAAAGCTAACCATCTACCCACGGGTTTAAGGAAAAGTAGGAACATCAATTCCTGTAATTATAGCCCACTGAACCTGGGAGGTGGAAAAGAGTGAGCAATTTTTCAAGAGCCTTATTTACAGACCCAATGCACACCTCAGAGGACAGGGAAAAGTCAGCAACAGCCATAACTCCACAGAGGGATGCGATGGGAAGCGCCTGGGTCTGAGGCACAAACACCCAGGCTGGGGGGACACAAGCCCTCCTGGGCACTCCCTCTGCTGCCCTCAGCACCTCATCCCACTGACCGGGCAGCTCTGAGCATCCCCTTCCCTGCAGGGACCTCCAACGCACCCGCCAGAGGAGCTCAGAGCACAGACAGCCCCTGCGGGTGTCCAGCCTCACAACATCTTCATCTACACCAACTCCCTGCTCTGTCCCGTGTCACCAGGACACGTAGCCAGGGCTCGCACACCCTTTGCTGCACCACAGCACCGGGCTCCATAACAGACCTCGTCTGTGCTCTTCTCTCCAGCTTGTTTTGTAACTCGCTCTGCTGCAAGGACAGTGTAGCAGACCTTTTGACAGAAAAGGTCAAATGCTCTAAACCTCAGAAACTCTGCGCAGCTCAGGATGGGGACGGGCAGGTTTTGCCTTGGACACCACCGTCAGATAAAAGCCACATGAGAGCCATTCCCCGGACCAGATGGGCACCCTACCACAAAAGAGAGAGATTTTTCCTTTCTTGTTTCCTTGGTGGTAAGGATGAGAGTTCAAAAAAAAGTATTGTTCAGCATATAGAGCCATAACATACATGATGACAATTAAACACAGCCACTGAAATTAAAGTTCCATTGACAGCAGCAGAAACAGCCCCTTGCAGGCTCCCCCAGCTCATGTCAAACCAAGAGATGCATTTTCAAAGCAGCCCGATGCACAGAAGTGTTTAAAACCCTCAGACAGCTTCAAAAATCCCCACCACAGCTTTTCTCCCTGTCAGGGGAGGGAAGCCAAGGGGCAGGGCAGACTCCCCGGAGCCACGGCTCAGCCCCAGCCATTTCCCCACAGCTGCTCTGCTGCCGCTGCGCCGGAATCACATTCTGCTGCTTGGAAGTTATGGCACACTTTGGAATTGAAGTGGTTTGCAAAATCACTATAATTCTGCTCTGCAATAACTCCTGTGACATAATCTTACCGTGGCAAAAGGATTTCTTGCAGACCAAGAAAACCCCACACCCGGAGGCACTGCCTGCCCCCTGACTTTTTGGGCTGCAGCAGGAGCAGGCACTGGTGTCCCAGAGCAGCTCTCTGCCCCAGTGCCACCAGCAGCACAGGGACCCAGCCAAAAAAGGGAATTTGGTCACTTTGCTGCAGCCTGGATGCCTTTGCTGATGCTGCCAGCTGCAGCACCCATTGCAGAGCTCGGCGTCATCTGGGAAGGGGGTGCTGGTCCCATGGGCAGAAGCTGACACCGGAGCCAGGAGAGGCAGCGGAAGGAGCCCAGGGCCGCCCCACTCACCGCCATGTACGGCCGGCACCCGGCGTCGCGCGTCTTGGCAATGGAGTCCACAAGCTGTCCGCTAATGCCGAAGTCACAGAGTTTAATATTCCCATTTCTGTCCAGAAGGATATTGGAAGGTTTGATGTCTGTGAGGGAAAGAAATTTAAAGGGGTAAGTCACTGCTGGAGGGATCGACTTCCAGAAGAGCAGCTGCGGAGAATGTGCCCCACGGTGTCCCTGGCAGGGGCGATGGAGGGGATGCCCTTCCCGGTGCTGAGCATCTTGATGTGGATGATAGCCCCAAAGATGCCACGTGCCCAGAGGCAGAGGTGGACACCCAACAACCCTGAAACCACGCTTTTATGGAAAAGCACAGACTGAAGTGGCAACACGGCAGCCACTGGGGACACGCTTGTGCAAAACCTGCGCTCACCCTGGCGGCAGTACCCATGCTAATTACACTTTGACTTGAAGTGAAGGCCGCCTAAAATCCTTGCAAGGATTTTTGTAGGCAAGAAAAAAAGAGATGAACTCACCTCTGTGAATGATTTTCAAGTTTTCTTTTAAGTGGTTTAGTGCTTTCACAGTCTAGGAAAGAAAAACAGATGAACAATAAGCAAATGTCAAAAGATTCCTGTGATCATTAAACGTTTGGAGCTCCAAGAACAGGGGGAGAACATTTAATATGTTGAGATACGAATCTGTAATACGTCATTAAAGCATTTCTTTCACAATCTTTCCTGCAAACAGAAGGTGATACCAGAGAGGGCACATGCTTAAGTAAACACACAGCACTTGCTGTAACCCGAGAAGATCACAGTCTGGGAGAGGGGAGTGAGAGGTGAAGTCAAGCAGTTTCTGATGTTAATTGTCTTAAGTAGGAACTTACTGTAGGTAACACTCTTCCCATTCACCGCCTCAGCAGCAGCAGTGTGAGGAGCCGCAGAGGAGGCTGTTCTGATTTAGCCATTCACCATCAAATGGGAGACACTAAGGGAGCCTGATTTCACAGGATGATTTTAAAAAACCCTGAAAATTCACCATTTCGATTCATTTTGCTTCCACTGAAAATATCATCGGAGCCTATGGCCAAAAAAACTGCCTTGGACATGATGGTGAGAGGGTGCTGATGCTGTGCTGCAAAGCGCTCTGACGCTGTGCCACAGCAAGGATGAAGTCTGGCACCAAGGAATAACTCCCAAGAGTGGAGGCTCACCCGGCCCCACATTCAGGCGTTTAGGTAATTAAAAGCTCTGGCAGGTTCTGGGGCAGCAGAAGGGCTGTCTCCTCCTTGCCGCCCACCTTGCTCCTCCAGTGCAGGTCTCTGCTCTGGCAGCAGCAGCTGCTACGCCTCTGAACAACAAACCACCAACTGATCCTCAGGCAGGTCTGCAGAGCAATGAGACTGAATGGCCTCCTCAGATCTGAGCTCCAGCAAGAGAAAACCTGTTGGACACAGTGACTGAATGTTGGGTTCAACCCCAGCTGACCCTGCCAGAAGCTTCTGTCCCAACCCTCACGTGCATGAAGCAGAAACTCACAGCTCTCCAACCTGGGGTAAAGGAGTGCTCAGATGAAATGAAGGGTGGCTGGGGGAGCTGTGAGCTGCAGCACACACCCCACCTGCACAGGATGGGGCTACCAGAGCGGTGCACACATAGACCTTCTGGACCTGGATGCCCTCAAGGTCTAAGATACTCAGGGCATGTTCTCATACCAGAGTTATTAAATGTCATTCCTCATTTGTTTTCTAGGAAAAGTGGGCAGAAACAAACTCCAGACCACAAGCTCTAGTCAGAACTTATCTCGGCTCCCAAAGCCAGCCTGTGCAGAGGACCTCCCTCAGGAGCTTCTGGGGCTGGGCTGCCTTCAGGTGCAATGTGAAGGAAGGAGAGCAGCCCCCGACTTCCCACACCACACACCTGGCCTTTGCATCCTCAGATCTGTTGTGGGTACCAGGTATGGAAAATATGAGATTACTCAGTCCATCCATCCCTCACTCCCAGGCCAGAAACAACTGAGGTGGCCACTTCCGGGGCTGGGAGTTAAAGCTTCGGTCCACTTTCACAGAGTACTGCCTGCACCAAGTAAGCAGAGAAACTTCTCTTGAGAGCTTCAAAACTCACGTCGACTCCCTGTCCAAGAAATTTTCATCGGGAAAACATCTTGCAAGGTCTGTCCAAGCCGAAATGGGCCTGCATGTCACCCTGAACACCCTGAAAACCCTAAAAGGAACTCCTTTTCTTCGTCCCACAGAATTACATATAACTCCAAGCAGTGTACTCTAGAAGGACAGACCTTCAACCCATCCCTTGTCTATGTCTCAAGTCTTGCTTTGGACAGTAATACACTGAGTTGGTTGGTGGTAAGATGATGCATCCACAGGCTGCAGAACAGCTATCAGCTGCCTTTGATAGGATTTTCAGTCTTGGCCATAAACATCTAAACACGTGACAGCACAGGAGTGGTCAAGGCAGCCTGTTGGCTGTAAGAAGTGGCAACAGGCCCAGGTAGGCTCAACATTTTATAAAGATACCCCTAAGAAGAGTGAAGGTGGTTTTCTCCCAAAATCGGGCACCGAGAAGAATTTGCCCATATCCTTTCAAGAGGTCACGGTTTGTGACTTGCTGAGCAGCTTCCCCTCTTTCTGAGGGCTCAGGACCAGCTCACCACGGCTTTCACGTGCTGAAGCCAATGCAGAGGCAGTTTCCCCATCTCTCACCAGCATGGCACAGCTCCAGTGCTCACTCGCATTTTCCACTGTTATTCCAGAACGGTGCTTCACTTCTGCAGCCTTTCATCTCCCAGCAGCCTTGCTGAAATAATTCATTTGGCAAGGCATTGGCTTTTTATTGGGCCAGGACTTCCAGGTTCAGTCAAGAAAACATCAACCAGGTTCTCCACCTGTTGAAGACCCATTTGTACTTTTCAGAGCCTTCTCACAAGGCCACCAGAGGCCTCTCTGGACTGGACTGGCACAGCATCCCCTGCAGAAATCTAATGGACTTGACAGATTTTCACTGGCTGCAGCAGGACAGAGGCTTAGGGACACCTTCCAAGACACGTTCCTCAACGTCCTCAAAATGTTTGTTTTGCAGGGCCAAAACATGCCCTTGTGTTTAGACAACTAAGAGTTCGTTTTGGCACAGCCAAGGATAATTTTACAAGGCTCCTAAAAGGGAGGCAGAGGGGTCTGTGCAGCAGGGCTGCACTCAGATACCCTGGATGAGCTTCATCTCACTTCACCACCTGAGGCACCACGAGATGGGAACTCAGCTCCCGCACAGAGGCACCAACCTCTCCCCACAGACTCCAGAGAGAGGTCCCACAACTTACTGAGACCAGGCCCTTGTTCTTTAATGGTCTGACGGGGTTCACATGTCCTGGCTATAAATGCCCAATCCCTTGTTCCCTTTACAAACAAGTCAACAAACAAGGGGAGGGGAGACAACTGATCTATCTTAGGCACTTTCCTTGGGATGAGACAACCTGTGCCCAGCTTCCATTGATGCCACCACCAGCACACATGAAGCTATCCCTGAGGAGGGACTGGTGTCTACAGTGCAGCACTGATGCTCAAGCAGACAGAGCAGAAAGCTGGTCCTGGGGTGTCTATGAACCGATTACAAACACCAGGACCTGCTTTTCCATCATGCAATATGCTATGGGAAAGTCAGACTAGACTATACTCCAGGGTCATTAAAACCATGGTGCAGCAGAATAGCAGTTCTGCTGCAGCCAGATCAACCAGATTTCTCACACGTGAGGGGAAGATCACATTAGCTTCAAAAACATACAGAGAAAAAAAGGTTTAACAAAATACTCACAGCTAAAGTGATTTTGCCTAAGATTTCTTCTGGAATAACATCATCTAATACACTATATACATATTTGTAAAACTTATCAAACGAGGTAGACATGAGCTCCATACAGATCCAACAGTCACCCTGGAAAGAGAAAAGAATTTGTGTTACTGCCAGGCTAAAACAAGAAACAAATATCCAGAGCGTGTAAAGAGATCCTCTGAACCCAGTAACGCGTGTGAATGGCAACATGCATCAGACAGGAAGGACAGAATTGATCTTGATTCGTTTTAGCAATGGAAGACTCACCCCTACACGTACCTCCCCCCAACCCCCTTCACCTGCAGAGGAATCTGGCCGACCAGCTCAGACCTGACATTACGCTTTAGATGCCTGAACCTAGATGAATCCAAGTCTCAGAAACTACCTGGGTCTCCAGAAGGCTGAAGGCACAGTGAGACATGAGCATGCACAGAAAGACTAAAAAAATCCCTTGCAGTTTATGACAACCCTGCAGAGGACAGAGGACATTTCACACCACATTCAGAAATGTCATCTAAGCAAGAGAAAATAAAAAAAAAAATTCAAGTATATGGAAAGTTTTGTTGATTTCCTTCTTGTAGTTAAGCTATTTAAATGCAGAAAATTGTAAAACATTCTAGTATCTGTGTTAAACCAAGCTAAGCTCAGCTATCATAGAATAACACATCTTTTTATCAAATTCTCTCCTGAGATCTGTAAATCTACCCACTCACAATGGATTTGCTGCAGATGAGAAATAGCTCCCTACCAAGAGGACCTACAAAAGGACTTCATCTTTTGTTTTAGCATGTGTTTAGCATGTGGTGATGAACAGCTTAGCCATGGACTGATCTTAGTTGTTTCAATTTTTTTGAACATTCTACAATCAGAAGGCTTTGTGTGAGCTGTATTTGCAGACTCATGCGCTTGCGGCAACTCTTCAATGCCAGACAGACTGAAATACAAGAACTAGACCTGTCCTCACCAGAAATGATGTACTCACACCCATCGTTGACAGGCTGCATTACACTGAGCTTTAAAACTGCATTAGCTGCCAATAGCTCCGTGCCGAATGGAGTGGGTTAGCCTGGTTGTCCCATCCTGATCACACAGCACCCAAACCACTGGTGCTGGAGCTGCCCTGGGCTGCTGGGGTGTCTCAGAGCACAGGGCACCTCTCGGTTACCAATGAACTGCACGCTCTTGGGATAGAGAAGAAACTTCCCCAAGTGATTATCCTACAGAAGGTAGACAGACAAAACGCAAACCAACCAAACTCTATATTCTTGGGAATGGAATCACAAAAAACCCTGGGGTAGGGACAGGCTGGAGGAGTGGGAAAGGGAGGGCTCCCATTCTGCACACCCAAGTCGTTTCTGTTTGAAACAAGCTCCCGGTTCTCCCGAGAGCCAGCAGCAGATCTCAAGTTACATTTAGACGATTAAAAAACTTGAAGAGCCCCAGGTTTTAAGGCTAAAAAGGGCTTTTCTGACTGCTCAGAATGACCTCCTGTGAAACCCAAGCCAAGGCACTGCATCTGCCAAAATGCCCCCAGTCCAAGCGCTTGGTTTAGCGGGAGAAAAAAGGTGCTGTCACACACTGCACACACCCGCCAGCATCAGCAGAAGCCACGGGGCCACCCAGTGTGGTCTGGGGCTGTCAGGCACCCGCAGGGCTGCTTCAGCCATACACACAGAACACGGTCAGCAAGTGTCCCAGGTGCCACCAGCTTCATGGGTGCTGCTGCTCCAGTGACAGCGAATCCATCAGCGCCTCCTGCCCAAGGAGGGACACTGCCCCCGAGAGCCTCTCCCTTCCCAGAGGAGGGGAATCAGCTTTCCTGGGAAAGGCTGAGCCACCAGTGGGCTGGCAGGGGAGGGCAACTGAGTTCTGAGCCATGGGCAGCCCCATTTTGCACTGCTCATTTGGCACCAGGCTTCTTACACCAGCACAAGGTAGAGTGGGAGGTAGCATCCATCCACCCAAGTGAAAGGGCTTGTACAAGCCTGAGCCCAGAAAACATGCATTTCACCCAAACCAAAGCAGGAGGGACGGATGGAAAAGGTGCTGTGCCGGACACAGAAGCAGAGACACCACCACGAAAGAGGCAAGGCAGCACAACGGGCAGAGGACATGACCGGCGTCTCAGCAGACATGGAGGAAGGTGAGTTCAAGCTGCTGGAGAACAAAAGGGTGGCTACGGGTGAATTTGGTTGAGGACCTGCTCAGATTTACACTGCAGAAAAGAAATCAGGGAGCATGTGCAGAGAACTTCCCTTTTCAGCACTGGCCACAAATGCAAAGCGTGGCTGAGGCACCTCCATGTTACTGAGGGTGGCTCCGGGGAAGCAGTGTGGGTCCAGCACTAGTGACGGCACAAACCCGGGCACCTGGAGCCACCCAGAGCCTCTGCAGTGACAGCCAACGCGGCTTGTTCTACCGCCTGCAGGACCAAAACACTGCTTCTGTTCTCATCAGCTTCACATAAAAAGCCATCCCTGTGCTACATTCCCGTGTCACTGTGCCAAGACTGCTGGGGACAGGACTGGTACAGGAACACCAGAACACCGCAACCCCCGACAGCCCATCTCCAGTCACACCAGTACTGTGAATGTCTCCAGTCGCCCAGTCACAACGGCTGGTGTTTGGACAGCAAAAGCAAACTCAAGTGAAACAAAAGAATCACAGAATCACATGGGTTTGGAAGGGACCTCTGGAGATCATCTAGGCCAACCCCCTGCCAGAGCAGGTCCACCCAGAGCAGGTTGCACAGGAACGTTTTGAGTGTCTCCAGAGAAGAAGACTGCACCACCTCTCTGGGCAGCCCATTCCAGGGCTCTGCCACCCTAACAGGAATGAAGTTCCTCCTCATGTCTAGGTGGAACTTTTTGTATTCAAGTAGTTCAACAGGCAACCTGATTAGAGCTTCACAACAGTGTGCACTTGTGGGGCTGGATGTACGTGCTACTGCACGCTCAAACAAGTACAATAAAGTGTTACCCAGTGTTAATTTAAGCATTAAGAAAACCAATGCATAATTCAGAAGTGCCAGGAAAGACTTGAGTTTACTTGGTCTCCTGAAGTATATGCCATATAGAAATCCTGGATGTGGGCATTTATTGATCATAAAAATCTACCTGATCAACTTAAATTCATGTCAGCAAGATGCATGTAAAAAGACCTCAGACTTTTTCAACCATGCAGCTTCATTAAGCCTGGTGGCAAGATTCAGAACTTTTTACAGGTTCTTATCTCCTCCTGGGTCCTGAAAGGACTTAGCCATCGGAAAAGCTGATGAATTGTTGTGAGAACAAAAAGGAAGACTGACAGAGATGACTGGGTGCTGATCACCCAGACCCTTTCTGACCAAATACAAAAAAGCACTGATGTGCACAAGGAAGTTCTGCTTCACCGTGAATTGTGAGGACAGAATGATCTTAATGAAAGTATCTCTTTAATTTACACTCCCAGGTCAGGTTGATTTTCAATTATAAAATGATGGAAGAAGCATTTTAATTTTCTCTTCCCGTCAGAGCTATTCTTCCAAAGAATGTATTTTAGTCCTTACTGGGTATTAAATTGCCAGATACTAATGCACATCTTGTAGGTGTTCCAAAAAATGTTCAGGAACACCCTACACGTTTCATTCAAAACACCCTGCCTGGCTCCAGCACACACAAAATCTGCTTCACCAGCAACAAGGATGCTGAGTTCCCAGTTGACAAGCGAGCATGTCACAAAGATACCACCCAGCTGGAACACAGCCTGGCAGAAAAAGGACCTAGGGGTCTTGGTGGAAACCAAGTTGACCATGAGCCACCAAAGTGCCCCTGCCACAAAGGCGGCTAACGGCGCCCTGGGATGCCGTAGGCAACGCACCGCCAGCAGGTCAGGGCAGGGGATCCTTTCTCTCAACTCAGCACTGGAGAGGCCACACCTGGAGTGCTGCGTCCAGTTCTGGGCTCCCCAGTACCAGAGAGGTATGACTGCATCCAGCATAGGGCCACTCAGATGACTGAGTGACTGAAGCATCTCTGCTGTAAGGAAAGGCTGGGAGAGCCAGGACCATTCAGCCTGGAGAAGAGAAAGCTCGGGGGATCTTACCAATGTATATAAATACCTGAGGGTGCAAAGAGGATGAAGCCAGGCTCTTTTCAGTGGTGCCCAGTGACAGGACTGGAGGCAGTGGGCACCAGCTGAAGCACAGGTGGTTCCTTCTGAATATCAGGAAACACTTTTTCACTGTGAAGGTGTGCTGGTTTGGGTTGGCATAGAGTTAATTTTCTTCACAGTCGTTAGTATGGGGCTGAAAACGGTGTTGATAACACAGGGATGTTTTAGCTCCTGCTGCGCTTCTCGCACCACCTCACCAGTGAGCAGGCTGAGGGTGCACAACAAGTTGGGAGGGGACACAGCTGGGACAGCTGACCCCAAGTGACCAAAGGGACAAGAGAAAACAGCCTCAAGTTGTTTCAGGGGAGGTTTAGGATGGATATTAGGAAAACTTTTACAATGAAAGGGCTGTCAAGCCTTGGAATAGGCTGCCCAGGGAAGTGGTGGAGTCACTATCCCTGGAGGTATTTAAAAGGCAGGCAGATGTGGTGCTGAGGGACATGGGTTAGTGGTGGAGTTGGCAGTGTTGGATTGATGGTTGGACTCAATGATCTGAAAGGTCCCTTCCAACCAGGAGAATTCTATGGGCGTTTCAGACCATGAGATGTCATGCTCAGCACATAAAGCTCGGGGGAGCTGGCCGGGGGGTGGCAGTTACTGCTCAGGGACTGGGCAGGCATCAGTCAGCAGGTGGCGAGGAACTGCATTGGGCATCACTTGTTTTGTATATTCTTTAATCATTATTATTATTTTCCATTTGTTTTCTGACTAAACTGTCTTTATCTCAACCCATGAGTTTTATCTTTTTTCCCTGATTCTCTGCTCCATCCCACTTGGAGAGGGAGTGAACGGCGCTGTGGTGTTCACTCACTCCCTGCTGGGCTAAACCACAACAGAAGGCACCTGAGTACTGGCACAGGTTGCCCAGGGAGGCTGTGGAGTCTCCATCCTTGGAGATATTAAAAAAAACCTATTTGGACATGGTCCTGGGCAAGTGGCCCTAGGAGGCC